GGTGGTGGTGAAGGCAGCAGTGAAGGCGTTCATGATGGTGGTGGTGAAGGCAGCAGTGAAGGCGGTCATGATGATGGTGGTGGTGAAGGCAGCAGCGAAGGCGGTCATGATGGTGGTGGTGGTGGTGGTGAAGGCTGCAAAGGCGGCCATGAAGGCGGTCGTGATGGTGGTCGTGATGGCGTCAAAGATGGCCGTGACGGCGGTGGTGAAAGAGGCAGTAAAGATGGCTGTGACTTAATTCCCTGTCACATCTACAACTCCAAGCCATTTTAGGTGCATTACTAACTGCTCTCACGGCAATTGGAATCATGTAGTAAAGACAATTACTATTTTTTATTTATGTGCTGGATTTGTACATAGTGGCAACTGATCGTTGTCTTTGGCTGCATAAAAGCATAAGCCTATCGTGGCTTTGCTATTAATTATTTCCTTCCGCAGTAATTTAATGGAAGGCAACAAGATAATATGTTACAGAACCTATAGGAAAAACAGTCCAATCTGGGAATGCCCCCACAAGACACCGAACACTGCCAGAACTGACAATTAGACGGGATGTAATAATGACGGATATCTCTACACCCCTTGCTTGTCACCCATGCTGTTCTTCTGTGTGTACCAGGGACGCACCCTTGTCACCTGGTGGCAAATGGCTAAGAGGAGGACAGAAAAGGTGTCGACCATGAGAAAAGCTGCGCGTGTCCCTGGGACGAGCGGCCAAGCAAACCTTATTGGCTTAAGCTGTGAGGCCTCTGTGTCATCCACCCAAAATGTCTCACCTGCAACCTTTCCCCAAAAAGAAGCAACAGATCATGATCAACAGATGAGTGACAGTAATTCACAGCGCAGCATATACAGAATCATCACGAATGGTAAGGTGGCCGCACAATTATCCCTGTTATCGGCCGACGTGTGGGGGGAGAGCCGGCACGTGTGACAAATTATTCTGCCGAGTCCCAGATGAGGCGGTAATTGCCTGTGCGATGCGCTCTCAAACTATGGGGGTAAAATATGTTGCTCTGCAGAAGTCTGTGCATTCCTTCTCCTCCACTGACTGGCTGCTTGAGAACCCCCTCTGCACACCTCCCCCCCCCCCCCACTCCTGTGACGGCAGCGAGGGCGCCCCCTAAAGCTGGCACACCATATCCTGTTTTAATTTACACTATAATGAATACAGAACTGCACTGCTTTAGCACTAATGATCCAGCGATTATCGTCCCCGTCTAACGTCCCATCTCTAAACATTTATTATTATTAAATCTTTTGAGACAGGATATCAGTCACTGAAACACCATGAACTACAGTCACAACCTGAAACTGAACTAAGGACACCGATAAAACAGAAAGCACTTTAATATTATGCCTACTGCATGCCCCTTTTACATGCCACAGGAACGCAAGACCTGGCAAGGCAAGACAATATATTCTAATTGCTTTGTGAGGAGCTCTGCACCGGACGCCAGCACATCCCAGGGCGCACGCACACGCACACGCACCTCATATCTTTATGAGGACCGCTCATTCATTTCTATGGGGAAAAATGCTAACGCTAACTATGACAACCTTAACCCCTACACAGCCCTAACCATAACCATAAGTAACTAAGCAAAATACAGGTGTTTCTGCATTTTTAGTTTTTTCATTGCAGTCACAGATTTTTATTAAATCGAGTTTTTCCTTATGGGGACCAGGACACTGATCCCCATAAGGGAAAAAAACGGGTATTCATCACGTTGTGGGGACATTGTTTTCCCATAAGGCAAGGTATACCCACTCTCTCGCTCTCACACACACACACACACACACACACACACGATATATATGCACTATAAGTACATAACTTTTATGACAAAATAAAAGTCACAGTCATGCTGGAACAGAAAAGGGCCTTCCCCAAACTGTTCCCACAAAGCTGGAAGCACATCATTGTTCAAAATGTCTTGGTATGCTGAAGTATTAAAAGTTCCCATCACTGGAACTAAGGGGCCTCGCCCAACCCCTGAAAAACAAACCCATACCATAATAACCCAGACTCGTCCATCAGACTGTCAGACAGAGAAGCGTGATTCGTCACTCCACAGCACACATTTCCACTGCTCCAGAGTCCAGTGGCGGCGTGCTTCACGCACTCCATCCAGTGCTTGGCATTGCACTTCATGATGTGAGGCTTGCATGCAGCTGCTCGGCTATGGAAGCCCATTACATGAAGTTCCCGGAGTGAAGTTTTTGTGCTGGAGTTAGTTCCAGAGGAAGTCTGGAACTCTGCAGTTACTGAGTCAACAGAATGTTGGTGACTTTTGCGCACTATGTGCCTGAGCAATCGGCAACCCCACTCTGCTGCTGTACGTGGTCTGCCACTTAGTCGTTCCTAAACGCTTCCAGTTTGCAATAATACCACGTACAGATGACCATAGACTATCTAGCAGGGAAGACTTATTGCAACGGTGGCATCCAGAGACAGTACTACACTCGAATTCACTGAGCTCTTCAGAAGGACCCATCCTTTCACAGATGTTTGTAAACCTGACTGCATGGCTAGATGCTTGATTTTATACACCTGTGGCAATGGGTCTGAATGAAACACTTGAATTCAGTGATTAAGAGGCGTGTCCCAATATTTTTCTCCATATAGTACATTTTTGTGGAAGAGTGTAACGGTACACGTATTTGTACCGATAATTCTCGGCACGTGTACCAAACCAATGAAGCAGATGCAGAACCTTGTGTGTTTGTGTGTTAACATTCGGAAAGGGGCAGTGCAGGTATGTTTTTAATATGCAGCAACATAATGGATATTTATTTTGTTATGCTTTGTATTTTTTTTTTTAAACAAAATTTGTATTGCACAGTTCTACCATGAATCTGTAAGTTGCCAACGTGAATACAGTACAGAACACGTACAGCTAATTTTCTAAATGTGCACCTTAATGGACATTTATTTTATTTTTATATACTTCATAGAATATTTATTTTAATTTTAGTTTATTAGTAGGATGCTACAGAGCCCCTAAGAAAATATATATATTTTTTAGAATAGTTTTGCATTCCCTCATACTTTTCTGATACTAATAACTGTACTGTGTCCGTTTAAAGTACTAAGAAAATTACAAAAGAATTAGTGGACTAATAAGTATAAACCTAGACTATCCATTTAAGTTTGTTTTAAGGATTAAGTATTTATTAATAATTGCACTGTGTCTATTCACCGCTAGTAACTGTGCATAAGCAAAACAGCTGGGCTACTGAACATGACATGCATACACAAACATTGCAATATTCATTAAAATTTGCCCGTAAAGAAACCTAGAAAACCAAGGGGTGATGCTTGCTTGTGCTGAAAGATATTAAAGCCGGAAAACTGAATATAAAGCTGACTATACCACGGTGTCATCGTTAAGGTTTAAACCCGAACCCACTTTTGGGTATAGCCCCCTGGTATACTCGCTTGGTGAGGTATGTGGGGATATGCAGATCTATACCGAAATATTCCGGAAAGGTCCGAGTTTGAACCTTAACTCCAACACTTCAGTAAAGTTAGCTTTATATGCAGTTTCCGGGCTGCATTAACATTCAGTGTTTGTGATATACTGCAGTGTTCATGTGTGCACTTCACGCTCAATAGCCCAGCTGTCTTGGTGGTCAATGGTGGTGAATGGACACAGCACGTCTGCATTGTTAAAGTTTATTCTTGCTGTCATGTTGCAGTAAATAAGTGGGCAAGGGTAGTGAGATCGCAAAAGTATTGTGTGGGAACGCAGAAGTATTGTGTGGGAACGCAGAAGTATTGTGTGGGAACGCAGAAGTATTTCAAAAAAGTATTTTTTGGGCTCTGTAGGTTGCAGCAGTATTGACAGAGACTTTATTTAAGAATGACAGTCATATTTTGTTCAGTAAACTATTGCTTAACAATGAAAAAAAAAACAATTTATGTTTTGTTTTTGTTTCTTTTATCACCGCTGTACCAAAAACATAACGAAACATGATTACAAAACCATGGTACATACCGAACCATGATTTTTGTGTACTATTACATTACTACTTTGTGGGGACTCTCACATTCATTCTATGGGCATAACCCTAATTCAAACTATGACAACCTTAACCATAAGGTAAGCGAACAAAATACACAACTTTTGGCATTTTTAATTTTTTGATTGCATTCACAGATTTAGATGACATTGAGTTTCTCCTCGTAGGAACTGAAAAAATGGGATGGGATTCGACCCCAAGACCCTGGAGGTGTGAAGCTACAATATAACCCACACCAACACTGTACTGACAACTGTCAAAGTGTCAAAATTACTTAATAAAACTGTTCAAAGTTCAAAAGATTTATGAGAATTCCCAACAATTAGCCTAACAGATACAATGAAATGAGGATAATTTTTTCCGCAAGACCCCTGATGTAGGCCGATCAGCCGTTACAGATGCCAGCCCTATAATACAATACAAAGGCTGATAATGTATAACAGATGCTGACAGTCAGCTAATTAATACCAAATTCAAACATATCACCAACTTAAAATCTCAGTAAAACAATTTAATTTCTTCATAATATTACAATATAACACCATGTAAGACTAGTATTAGGTTAGTTAGAAATGCATTTCACAATCAGTATAAATGCTGGCTGCGAAATGAGAGTACAGGTGTTAACATTCTGAAATATGATTTTTTTTTTTTTATAAAATCAGACTATTTACTGTCATGCCTGTTTTGGTTTTCATCTTTTTCGTAAGCGGTTAAGTTTTAAAATACAGCTTATGTAAAGGTGATTAGGAAATATCTGACAGCCTTTGGTTTCAAATAAATTTCCTTGTTAGTAATGTTATAAACAGCACTGAAGTTTTCAATATTTTTTACAAAGTCTTATTATGACATACGACAAAACTGACCAATCAGAGGTGTCATCCCTTACCTTAGTGTAAACTCCCCAGGAGAGCTCTGTTTCAGTCACCATGACAACAATCCCAAACATCCCAAAGATCAAGGCGTAATCGCTCAGTCGCTTGCGTTTCTCGAAGAGCGCCCTCCGATGGCCTAGCTTGTAGCCGATGTCCTTGTTCTTTTTCTGTGGAGCACTGCCCCCCTCTCTAGCCAGGCTCTCGTTGGACACCTTGCTTGGGTCATCGCCGTTACCCTTGGAGACCACCACCTCCAGGCCGGAGCTGTGAAGGGTCTGGAGGGGCTGTGTCTCTGAGTCAAGCTCTGCAAGGTTTCGCCGTGACGCCCCCAGGCTGCCCAGGGGTCTCACGACGCCCCCATTGTACTTGCAGCTGTTCATGGCTATCTCAGAGAACGGGTAACTGCTCTGAGAGAGGGAGGCCTTGGACCCAGCATGGCTTAACTTCTTGGGCTCCGCATTTACCTGCCAACAGAAACAGGTCAATAATAGAGCATCCCACACTCAAATGTTACATGCTTTATTGCTTGCATCCTGTGGTTCATGGGAATCAACTGCAACAAAAAGACAGAAAAGAATTTCCCCATGGGATCAATAAGGTTCATCTTTATTTAATCTTATCACGGTTTGCTTTGTGTATGCCAAGTAAATACATCCAGTTGCTGTTCATGTCGTATCTGCCCCTGGTTTACTAATCAGGGACTTGAGCCTGCTCTTGGCTGGGTTCAATTAGAGCTAACAATATTTAAGCAGAGCAGTAAGTAGTGCTCATCATTGCTTTTGTGTATAGGGATGCTGATTCTGTCAGAAGTTTGTTTTATGGGGGCTGTATGCAGTAGGTTCTCTCTTTGCGATTGTCAGCGGCCCGCAGGTACAGGCCAGTCATGGTTCCTGCTGACCGCCATTTGGCTTTGAGGCTTCTCGTTTCCAGCAGTGCTGGGACAGAACGTCCTGAGTCTGAGTTGTGACAGTTCATCTTTTGAAAAAAAAGACAAATTAAGGAACAGTAATATTTTAAGACCCAAAATATCGAACACTTAATACTGCAGTTAAAACAGAGTCTCGAGTACAGCAACAAGCAAGTATGTGTGACATATTACAAGAATGGAATAAAGCTGTCACTATTTCTCGATTAAACTTGATGAAACTCAATTATTAAAGAGCATTAATTAAAATTTTCCTAATCGATTACTCTGCAATATGGCAGAAAAAAGACAGCGCATAGCGGACGAGTGTCCAGATAAAGAGAGAAAGCAACATTAAATGTGGAAGCACTTCACATTAAAAGTTAATGAAAATGCAGTTGACTGTCAGTATTGCAAAGCAGAACTTAAATATCACCGCAGCACAACTGTAATGCAAATACATCTCAGACATTCAGGTTTGACAGACCCAGCCAACAAACTGAGGTTAGCCAAAGACATGTCAGAGAAATCTGGTGATTACTGGTCAGTGTTTTGGAACAATTAGCGACGTTAAGCTTGTTCATGTCAAGCTTTTTAGAATGTCACTGCCATTTAGCCTCTCAGAGTAGCCTAGCCTGTCTTACAATTTGATCCCAGGAGACAATCGCATTTCTTATGATGTGATGATTGCATGTTCATTAAATGCCACGTTGATATTAACATTACACGTCGTGCACGCCTGTCAGGGTGGTGCAGAGGCTCAGTGAGTAAAGCAATACTGTCCAGGCACACTACCGTGTGTGCGGCGGAGGGGGGAGAGTTGTGTGTTTGTGGCTTTTCGCTGGATTCTCTGATTTTCTTCCACTGTCCAAAAACATGTAACTGAAGTGAGCTAGAGTGGGTAAACTGACGTACCTATGCGCCCTGCAATGGCTGGTCGGTTGCTGCCTTGCACCAACTGCCAGGCATATATTATATTACAGGGTTGCCAACTCTCATGCATCTGCCGTGACTCTCACGCTTTCAGACTCTCACGCATCTGCCGTGACTCTCACGCTTTCAGACTCATGCATCTGCCGTGACTCTCACGCTTTCAGACTCATGCATCTGCCGTGACTCTCACGCTTTCAGACTCATGCATCTGCCGTGACTCTCACGCTTTCAGACTCTCATGCATCTGCCGTGACTCTCACGCTTTCAGACTCACGCAGGAATCTTGCGGCAGATCTATATCATTCCATTATAAACCTAAAATCAGCTACCTCAAAAGCACTGGGGTAGTTTGCAAACCCAACAGACTATTTACAAGGTAATAAAACCATTACAAACATGTAAATGCGTGTGCATGTGCAGACTTGTCCCGGATTGAAAATCTCACTCCATTCAGCTGACTAAAGTTGGCAAGCCTGATATAATATAATATAATATATGTAAACAATTACTTGATGAATCATCAGATTAAACGGTAGATTAGTCGATTATTGATATTTCCGACAGTCCTACTTTGAAAGCACACAGTCGATTTCAACATGGTTTTTGTAACGTTATGGGACATTAAGAGAACATTAATATGGTTCAGCCATGCCCTCTGTATCTGTTAAGTATGGTCTTTCTGGATATGTAGCCAGGTGTGGGCTCACAATTAGTCACCAATATAAAGGGCAGCACTGCTTGAAATCGAATAACTGCGTTTTGGCTGCCACCCTCACACGTGATATTTAAATATGCTGTTCTTTCTCTTTGGCTGCTTGCATGATTAAAGTTCCATGCCAGTTTTCCCATCACTGATCAGACACTCACCTGAACGGCATATACTGCGTTTTTGCAAGTGATTTTCTAATTCAATAAAATATCTCCTCAAAAAGTATCACAATTTGTTAAATATGTCACAGGACATCTGTTGGTGTTATACTTCTAGTAAAATTACAATTTAGGAATAAATAACTTTTAAGGATTGTATCTGATATCAACTTGAATATTCCTAAAGGTTTTTCATCATTATTAGTTCAGAGCAAAACATTCTACTGCTTTGTTTTTAGTGACTGCGAGTGCACATTGATGATTAGCCGCTATACTGCGCACCCCCAAACATCACGATTCATGCAGCAGTCAGACTAAATTATAATGCTTCCCACCAAAGCTGTTCCATCAATCCAGCGTTGTCCATCATTGCACTGAGCATTATTTTCTTGACAGCTGGAAGACTTGCAGTGTTTGCTGGAACTGATGCTTAAAAAAGCCGGTTTATTTAATATGCACTGTCAATGAATATCATGATTGACATCCTGTCCGTCGTGTTCCCTTTCTTGTGCAACAGGCTCACCACCACTCTGTACTGGATAAGCAGTTTGGATGGATGGATGGAGTGCTTTTGCTATGCCAGAATCTTTCATGCAATCACTACAATCACTCCCTCAGCCACAATAACTTTGCTTTGGGATTCACCAGGACCTTGCCGTTTCTAGCTCAAGAACCATTAATACTCCCCTTGTGAAACAAGGACTGACATTTTGCAAATTCTATGAAGGTTTACTTGTGCATATTTCAAAGCTTTCCCATAAAATAGCCATCTAACTATTCACAATAGAGAAACTGGCTCAGTCTCATCTCTCCAGAAGGAGAACTCTGAATCTCAGGAATATGAATGCAACTGCTGAGTCAAAATGCTTCATATTTTCCACCTCCAATTTTAAATACTTAAATTGTGTACAACCAGCAGATCATCACTGTTAAAGGAAGTCTTGTTCTTGATTTTCTTTTTACATTTAAAACGTATCTCATGCACTTGCTGAAGTTCTGAACAATCTTGAAAAAAACAGGCAACTTTACTGAGCTGGAAAACTAGAGAGCAGGTTGTGTCTGACAGGTGAGAAATGTGACATTAAAAGAGCATTTACTCAACAGTAAATAATGTGCTCTGTGCAGTTTTCCACATGGCTACCTGCCTGCATGGCAACAAGGCAGTAGTGAGCTGTTAACCCGCATTCTGCTTCTCGCGTCGGAACCCGAGCTGGTGAGCACTCAAAAAGCTGAACCCAAAGCACCTAAAATCCAGTTACAGGGCATCAGCTGCGTCCCCCCCCCCCGAAATAATTATCTTGTCGGGTTGATATTAATGAAGAAGTAAGCTTTGCAGAGCTCCATTTGATCGCATGTCAGCTTACAGCTTCTCACTCGAGGTGTCCTGAGAGGCGGATGAGGAGGTCCCCCAAGCCCCGTCCCTCACGGCCAATTCGGCATCGTGTTTCTATGGATGGGGCGCCCCTAGATGCACCGGAGAGGCTCCGCTGCAGAAAATTTAAAATGAAGCACTGCAGCACTTCTCTACCGCCCATCGTGTATCTCTCGTTCCCTCTCCCTCTTTCTTTCTTTCATTCTTTGTACAGAGAAAAGACAAACTTCCAGTGTACTTCAAGCCATACAGTGCCTTTGAAAGAACAGGTGAAACCACACGGCAAAACTTGCGATGCCTGTTGTTACGATCATCCCCCATCGCTGAGCTGTGAAGGAGCAGCATCATAGCAGCTGGAAGGAGCAGGAAAAAGCAAGAGAATGAGAGCGAGAGCAAGAGAGAGAGAGAGGCGCCTTTTGCAGGCATGCAGCAGTAACTCACTGTCAGATGGAGAAACCCACACAGCCTTCTTGGCCACCTTCATCTGGTTAAATTCCACTAGCCCTCCTCCTCCTCCTAATGCCTCTCAGAACAATGACACTCTTTGTTAAACTGGAGTCAATCAGCATCTCTCCCCAATGACACCAGAGCTGTGCACAATCATGGATTTTTATTTATTTTTTTGTGATTCGTTTGAATGGATCCTATGCGCCAATCCTGGGCTCAAGCTGCTGCCTGCAGCAGACTGCACTAAGACAGAGAGGGAGGGAGAGAGAGACACGGGGGGGGGGGGGGGGGGGGGGGGGGGGGGGTGAGAGAGAGAGGAGGGGTGACAGAGAGGGAGGAAGAGAGAGGGAGAAACAGAGGGAGAGCGAGAGGGAGGGTGTGAGCTGAAATGAGAGGGAGGCAGGAAGGAAAGGAGAAGGTAAGAGAGCATGCAGGGGCCCGAAGGCAGCGGATCAGGATGCTGCCGCAGAGAGCTGCGACTTGTACTGGGGGCAGCGTGTCATGCCGCAGACAGTGACAGGACTCGGGGAGAACCTGGGGAGGCCTGCAGACCAGAGGGCTGCAAACCAAAAGAACCTGCACAAGCAAATAACGAGCGACTGTGCAAAGAAATGACCTCCAGTGACTGCTCCTGAACAGCAGACTGCATACAAATGCACGCAGTCCCTGAACTGCAAATTAGCCGTATTTTTTAAGTGCCACTGCACAACCATTAAAATCAGACACTTGACAAATATGTAACTTTTTGCTCAACGTGTGAAAATCGCTCATTTCACCTAAAACTGTTCAGTATCGGTGAAAATGTCTAATGTGAGAATGTACGGTAATTAATGAGGCTCATGTACATGTAGGCAAATAATGCAGACTGAAAATAACAAATGCTATTACGGTCAAGTATTTCAAAAATTGTGGAACATGTAATTTGTTGAAGCGTAAAAGAA